CGCTGGCGTACGATCATAGTCAAGAAAAGGTAGAGTTTTAACTAACCTAACGAATAGTTTTAACTAATCTATAGATTAAGGGTATCATAGTGGTATTAGGACCAGTTTTTCACTTGGAGTCGACTTCAAAATTAGAGCCATGAAAAGCTGTTTAATTTTTCGTGAGTATTTTTCACATTTATGTTTTAGATTTTGTGTACTCTGTGAAATATTATTTTATGAATAACATTAAATGGGATTTCAAAGTACGAGGAACTGAACCAAATAAACCGCCGCTCCCATTAAATAATACATTTTGAGGAACATATACATATTTCATTTATTTAAAACTAGCTAATCAGGCGAACCTCGTACCATCGCAGAATCCATCAATGTTGTGTTTATGTACTTATTAGCTGAATTAAATTCAGTTTTATTAATTATGATAAATATATAATAAATATCTGCTCACAATGACTTACGTTTAATAAGGGTACAAAAATTAAAACTAAAAGATGGGTTTCACATGGTTATATTCTCTATACTGGCTCACATTGTGATGTATTTACGACATTACGGCAAAAATGAGATTTGGTAACCCCGAAATCCAGGCAACAAGATTTATGCATAAAAATCGTTATTAAAATAACAGATTTCTAGCTAGAGAAATGCCTTTAAAGAAACCCCGTTTTTCGCTCNTGACGATATGCTATTATTGGGACTCGCCACACTGGTATTTTGAAACCGTTTGAAACTGGTTTTTCATTGGCGAGAAGGCGAAGAGTTTACCTCAACAATTTCAAACGCCGAAAAATGCGTTATGACTTCGGTCTGAAACATACACATAGAAAAATCTTCTACAATGTACCGAAAATACTATGTATGTACCGAATGTATTTTCAAATTATAAAAGGGCTGAAAAAGTTGAACCAACTTATATTTACTCTATCTCGAAAAAGAGTTATAAGAAAAAAATATGAATCGTTTTATTGAACCCGGTTTGTTTGTTTGTTTATTTATATATTTTAAAAGACATTTTGTATGAAAAATGTAAGTTATTGATCTGTCTGATAGATTGGATCATTACCATTCCAGGATATCTCAGTTTTGTAATTTGAGCAAAAAATAGTGAAATTATAAAGAATTTTCGTGACACAGCTTGGCTATTTTATAGATATTTGTCAGTTTAAGTATGAAATTAGGTTGGTGCAAACACTAACATATGTATAAGCGCCAATCTGTTACTATAATCATGGAAAATTATGGATTTTTTTAAGGTTTGAAATTATACGAGTGTACATATTAAATATTTATATGGTCAAATTAGGGTCAAAATTTGGTAACTTGAAGACTTTTGCTTGGTTGTCAATTCTTTTTGAATACTCTAGGGCTAGTCGCTAGGAATGTAAAATTTTATTTACGGGACTCAAAGAGCTAAGAAATTTTCGACATCTTAAAAACGTTAACCCAACGATAATATTTACTATACCTGGTAGCCAAGCCCTGGTAAGATTCTTTGGAAAAAAATTCTATAATTTTTCATGAAACTTTATGTGTTTACGCGTCCCATTTAATTCGCAACGTATTTTTTGATTTCGGTAAATCCGCGTACAATATAATGCTAAAAAATTTTGTGGAATTTTTTAATCCTCTAGCTGGCATTCTTGCAAACTTGGGTCACAATGATGTTCTAGGAAAAATTTTAGTTTTAATGGAATCGAGTAAGGCCCCCTTTTGGAATGCGACTACTGCGTACATGTGAATACTAAGGCTTGGGCAAAGTTTGCGTGAGGCCCACAATTTGCTGTTTCCCTGAGCTGGAAAAAAAAGTTTAACACCCCGGTTTTTAGACACGCATGTATTAATAATTACAACTTATATATATTTGTAGGCATATATGTAAAATAGGGCTGGATTTGCAAATTTTGTGAATGATACCATGACAACCGTTTGCATTTTTAATTGCAGTAGATCCTGAACAGTGCCAATATTTTTTATTTGGCTGAACATCACTTTGCAACCAAATATTTGTACTACTAACATTTCAGCAGTCTTTAGGGTAATGAAGTTTCATTAAAATTTAATTGCATAAATTAGTTTTATGTGTACCACTCTTTTTCTATATTTTAATTTTACTTTTTCATAAATATTAACTGCAATTTTATGTATAATAAATATTAAGGCAATATTTGTGGCATAAATTTTTAATAAAAAGAAGAAATCACTTACCGATTCGCGCCTGTGTATGCACTATCAACAACGGCAATGTGAGGAAAGCCATTCGGAGGGTGTGTAAAAATGGCGAAATGCAATTTTGCGCAGCCATTTTGTAGTTGTGTTTGTAGCACTGCTTGCTTGCTTGCCGTAGAGCAGCTTTGTTTGGTAGCGTATTGTTTGTCGACGCCAATTGCACCGGAAGCGATTTCCCTTGTTAATTTTTTGTTTCAACTTTTCGCGCAGCAAAAACTATGCCAAATTTTACTTATTCATATATTATAAGGACACTATGTATGTGTACATAAATACTCGTCCTACTATATACACAGATATAATTTATTGAATTTCTCTCTGGGCTCTGGGGGNGGCACACATATGTTCATTTAAATGTTTTTAAAAATGTACTTTATCAGAAAGGCTAAGTATTGGTGCTGGTGGCGCCACAGGCTCCAAACCCGATTTCACTGTTGAATTTACTTTTGTGATTTGCCACTTTAATTCTTTTTGCTCACTTCCACAACACACATACGTAGTTTCAAGTTTTTTTTTTTTTTATACACATATGTTTGTTTTCTTGTATTTCTCTATTTATTTCGCTGCTGCTGCTGCTGCTTACAGTCGAATGTTTGTTTTTCGCTCACTCACTCACACACGCATTTCTCCCATCCCACCTGCAATTGAGAATTGGAAAAAACTTGAAACGAAGAGGAACTCAACATTAAGCATGTGCTTAGTTTGTTTTTTCCTTTCCCCGCACACGCAAACACGCTTCTATTTTGATGAAAAACTATAGAAGTGTGTTTGTGTGTGTGCGTATTTTGGAATATTTTGCTTTCACTTCCATCACTCTAAGCACTTTGCTTTTTTTATCACTTTTATCGTTTTGATTTTACGTGTCGTGCATTTGTATTATTTTCATGTAATTTTTCTAGGTAAGACACATGCATTCATAAATATTTACATACATACATACTTACATACATACGTACATATACGAGCATATGCACATATGCCATTGCGCTCAACTAAATAGGCCAGCAACATTTTGATCAATTTTGGCCTTTTTATTTTCTTTATTTAATTTTTGTAATTTTTTTTATAAAAGTCTAGCTTATTATACAAGAAACACCATATAAATCCGACTTTGCACACAAATAAAAAAAATATAAAAATTTTCATCGAAATTTACAAATTTCGATAAATATTTTTTTTTTTTTTAGAAAATTTTTGGTATGCACTTTTATAGACCAGTTAATTTTAGCATAATACATAGAGTGCTGGTTTCGAGCAGCCACAAGATACCATAGATTTTTGGCAATTTTTTGATGGTAGGGATTTTCTTCCATATAAAAAATGTTAGAGCATTCTTTGTATGGAACAAAAAAAGTTGGCAAAAATCAACGGTAAACTGTAGCTAAATCGATCGTGACTTTTTTTATATTCGAATTTAATAGGCTATAAAACTGCATACATTTCTCTTAAAATTCTTAATCAAAAGTTTGAAATTTGTATGAAAATTTATTGAATTTTTGTACGAAGCTTGAAATTCGAACACACATGGATTTTATTACATAGTGAACTCATATGGGTATACTAAACCTAAAAAAAAAAAGCTAAAACTTGTTGAAATGTCGCGTCCCTATTTATTTTCCCGCCACTGCACATATGTATTTATGCTTTTATGTGTATGACAGGTAAGCATACATATACATACATACTATGTGTGTAAGTTTTCAGGCATGTCTTTTGGCTTAGCTAAATGGTGTATTTTCTGCACATGTGCTGCCAGCTTTGAAAAATAAATAAAACTCGGTTGTGCCTGTTACGAGTCGTACACAAATTCTGGTTTTTCATTTCGACTGTTTTTCTTTTTTGAATGTTTTTCACCGTCTGTTGCCTTTGCTTGTCTTAAAACTGCGCATCTGTCCTTAAACTTTTGCTTAGAGCAATGCGTACTGAACAGCTATGAATGTTTATTTAGGCATTGATTTTTGTTTTTATTCTCTTTTAACTTTTATTTCGATAAATAATATGACATTAAAATAAATTTGATGCCTATTTGTTTGTTGTCGCCGGTGGCAATCGGATGTTTTTGACATGCTGGTTTTTTCGTCTTAAATCTGAATCTTTAAGACCGCTTAATCCGCCAGGTTATGGTTAATTTCTTACATGTGCTAGCTTTATTTTGTTAACAAACGCTTGTTAGCTGGAAGAATGTCTAAAAAAAACAGAAAAACAACTTTAATTTTTTTTTTGTCAGGCTTTCTGTATTAAACAAAAACAAATAATAACTAAAACCAGTAAAGAAGTCTAAGTTCGTCCGAAGCTGACGATTAAATACCCGGCGTGAGTATTACACATAGATTTTCACCTTTCTAAAAACTACCGTTAAAGGCAATCACGGGTGGTTTTACACCATTTTCAAATATTTTCGATAACACGTGCAGTTAGACTTAACTCTTAATTGGGCGCGAGGCCTTCAAGTGGAAAAAAATGTCTTGAAGAGCTAGGAGTGCGCTCGCGCTCTTTCTTCCTTATAAAAGCGCAAAGAGTCAACGACGTAGCGTAGACGTAGGTTGACGCAGACACGATCTATCTTATGGGATTTGCGTGTTAACGAAAACTCACCACCGCATGGCGGTGACGTTGCCGTTGCTTTTCTCTCTATCTCTATCAACAGTAAATTTGATATGCTGCTACGTACTTCAACCTACGTTTACGCTACGTCGTTGACTAACTGAGCTATAACTTAACATCCTACGGGATGCGTAATTTAGTCACCGCCGTTACATCGACGAGTACACATGTGTCGCTATTCTCTGGAGTGCTGACCCCAAGCGAGCACTAACGTAACATTTTTTGGCAGAGGTAGATTTTTATTTTTAATCTATGAGTGAAATCAATGTAATTTCTTGTTTTTGTTTTCCTAAAAAACACTTCAATTTTTTATTTCTTTCACTCCTTTTTCAACACTTTTTAATGGTCACTCGAGACCTTATGCGACTGATTGTGTTATCTGCTTTATGCGCCTAACTAAGGGTTAATTGTTTACTCACTTTGCCTCTCTTTCTATTATTCTGCGCAACGCCTTCGTTAGGAAATCTGGGAATACGTCCTATATATACGATATGAGTCCCTCCAACACTACTTTCGTAAGGGGTTCCTCAATAGCTGTAAGCTCATACTATCACTATTGCTGCAGGTTAAATGTTTATTGTCAACGAAGGGCTCTGAAATATAAGCGATGGCATTTTCAACCCTCAAGGTCATGGACTACGTGGTGGAAAATATGTATCTGCAGTGACAGCCAAGCTTTGTCTTGCCCTCTAACTACTGCCAAACTAGTTCGGCAATGCAAGTCTCGACTAAATTATGTCGGTAAACATAATGATCTTGCTTTCCTCTGGGTGTCAGGTCACTCGGGATCACCTGGTAATGAGACATGTGTCTATTTGGCCAGAGTTGGTTCAGAACAGGCATTCCTCGGTCCGCAACCAGTTATCGCACTCCCCACTTCGGCCATCGAACCCACTATCAGAAACAGAACTTCGCTCAGCAATGACTGGGGGGCATCGAGGGATGCAGGTGGGCCAAACTCATGTTGCCTTCAATCTCAGAAGGTCTATCTACAATTGCTGGCAGTTATGCTGAATTTATGATTTATATTTGTCTATGCTTTCTTGAATAAATCTTGCCACCTACCTTACGTTACAGATTGAAATACAGGAAAATAATATGACTGCATGATCTGAAGATCACTCGAAAAGACGTGAGCATTAGTGTTTGAACACATTTTTCGGCGGAAGTCTAACGTTTTGAAGTGGGTATGAGACTCAGCCCACTCAATTTTACAAAATACCTGAGGATTTAAATATTATGACAGCAGGGTAAGCAAATTGGAATAAACCTTATAAAACAGCGGCCGATTAGTAGCTTATGGGAAGGAGGCATAAGTCTGACAATTACACTGGTTTACAGCAAAAAGTTTCTATGGATGCCACTATCTAACTCTTATATAGAGTTGCTCAGTGATTCCGAAAATCGAGATATTTTTTTTTTTCTATGGATAACTTTTCGGCTTATTTGCAATTTTCCGTTATTCAAAAAATAGGGGTTTCACTTAAATACTTGATTAAGTGAAACCCCTATTTTTTGAATAACGGAAAATTGCAAATAAGCCG